TGGCCCTGACTAATGACCTTTGACCTGTGACCTACTTTTCGAGACCATGTTTGGCCGGAATCGCGATTCGGCGTATGTCGGCTCGCATTTGCCGCGCGTTTGCAGTCCTTTCGTGGTTTCAAGCGTTCAAACATGGGATATGATGCTGCTCCCATGCATTAGGGTGGATGTCAAGGTCACCAGAAGGTCAGGTCAGTTCATTGACCTTTGATGACCTCGGTTTACTTTTTCGAGTTTTATCAGCATCTTTCTAGGCTAGTTTTTTTAGCTGATTTCGAATTTAACAACCATATATGAACATTTACGAAGTAGTTTTGGTGCCTTCGTAACATGTTACGAAGCTGTCAGAGGCGGTTGCCACCTAGTGCACCTACTACGAATACCCGGCAAAACCCTTACTGGTTGACCTGACCTGACCTGACCCGACCTGGCCTAAATGCATGAAGACATCATCTATGATCATAGCTAACATGATATTCGTGATCAGTTCCCTAAAAAACCCAATAGCAGCCACGTTTTACGACGTTCTAACAGGTCCCAGTTTTCCCCACTTTTGGGTCATTGACCTGACCTGGAAGGTCAACCGATGACCTAGGACCGACGACCTAGGATAAAATTGGGTACCATCGGCTTTCTCTCGTCACGGGCAGCACGCTCGTTTTTTCCGCGAAGCTCTAGCTCAATCAGGGGCGAAACGGCAAGGAGGGGGTTCAACGGACCCCCCCTTAAACGTTCGTGGCTGAAAAACACCAATAAGGGCGAGGGTTAACCCCCACCCTACTGTGGGGAGGGCTATTCATAGCCCCTCTCGTGTTTACGCAATATCTTTAAAACCGCTGGACGTATCAAAACAAAGCTTTTAGGACCTTCGGCTGCATCAATTTATTTGACACCTTGTGCACTAATAAAATTTTCGTAGCTACTATAGATCGGCCGGAAATGACGCCAGAGTGACATCATGTTCGGCCGATTTTGATGCAAAGCATTGAACAACGGTAATCGCTCTCAAGATCTGAGTTTTAACCCGGCAAGCGGTGGGCCTCCCGGCTACCTTCCGCGCGGTGGGAGGGGGGGATTTTTGACCCCCCCCCCCCGAATCTCCGAAGCTACTATGACGGATCGGTAAAATTTAAATGGCGTTCGATAGCCTTGTTAAATTTGTCGAGGGAACTTCAATTTCATTGACCTCGGGGTCACCGATGACATCACAGGCCAAGTCAAAGATAAAATGTTTCACCGTTCACGGGTCTTTTAAGGAATGCGCTGCAACATCGAGTAAAGGGCATTTTGTCAAAAATCAGCGATAGGGCGTGAGTTGCCTATTATACGAGCATATGTTGCTATTGGAGGTCACTGATAATACCAGGTCCGATCACCAAGGGTCAGCACATGAACCTATCTTTACTAAGTAGGGTTGTGCGATGCATGTTTTATGGCCAATTTTTCATATTCGCCTCAATGGTGTTGGTTATAAGACCATCAGGGACGGTTTTTTTGGTCACTTTCTGGTGGAGGTCAGGTCAATGTCAGGTCAAAAAGGTCAAATTTCAGGTCAAAGTTGATAGTTTCGCATAAAATTGGTATTGATTCGATGCCACTCGTCACGGCGAGTCTAATGGTGGTCTTTGTTTTGCGCTTTGTGGTCTAGAATTGCCAAAATCGAGTTTGAAAATTTGACGTCATTAATTTTGAACAGTTTTTTTGTTATAACTTGGCAAAAAGGAGTTATCGATCTAATACTTGGAATGTGAATAGAAGTCCATAGTGGCTATTACATATATTCCGTTTGTTTCGAAAATCGAAAAACTTTTGGGATTTTTTGGCTATTATATCTATTTCTTTTTATTTTTGGGGTCAACTTCAAAAACAAAATCGAGAGAACAGTATAGTAGCCCTGGTAATTCTACACATTTCATGTCTTGAACATTTTTATGCATAATCAAATTTATAGACCTGACAGCTCTTCCCGCGAAGCTTTTTTTTTGGTCGACAATGGCAGAAATGACGTCACTCCGACGTAGCGGCCAACTTATCATAGCCTTTGGAAAAAAAATTTGGTCACAATGTGCAAAAGGGTACTGAAAGTTTGGTGAAGATCGGCGCAGCGGTTCTGGAGATATATCGAAAAAAAAACTAAAGATGGATGCAAAAAATGCCCCCCCCCCCCACCGCCTTGAGGGTTAAGCTAGATCCTTTTTTTTGCATGGGTGGACTCTACAGGGCTACCAAACTGATTTCGGACTTTCGAAATGTTGAATATTTTGAAAATTATAAATATAAAAACTCAGAAATTGTATTTTTTATTTTTTTACATATACGTTTCTGAATGAAAAAAAGCATATGTGTTTGAACACATATGCGTTGAATATATGTGAACTTCATCTGACAAACACCTTTTTTGTTGAAAAATGTCAACTTCAAAATTTGACCATTTTTGACCTAAAGTGACCTGACCTGACCTCAGCTATATTCAGCTAAAATGGCCTAAACTGACACATACAACACTGATTTCGATATATATGGCCTACATGAACCATAAAACATGTCTCACGTCACCGATGCACGATATAAAGCTTTCGTGACCTGGGATGAGATGGCCTTGACCTGAAAAATTCGAAGTACAAGTTCGGTACCCTCAGGTTATGTTACGCATATATTCACGAGTGTGCAAACAAAAAATGAGCCTGATCTGATTTGTTGGCCGGCGCCCAGAGTGCCAAGACGCTGATATTTTTACTTTGACCTGACCTGTGACGTCATCGATGACCTCGAGGTCAATGACATTAGGCTTCGCTCAACAATATTTCCAGGGCTACCAGGGGCCGTTTGAATTTTGACAATCGGCCCAGTAGTTTCGGAGTTAGGAGCCCCCCCCCCCCCCCACTGTAACGTGCTGTAACGTGCTGTGGGGCGCGTTAGAGCACATACCCCAGTGAGGCGTGGGTTAACAAATAAAAAAACACGTTGATTTCCGACGCTGGGAAATGCCCGCAATGATACCCACCCCACCACCCTCCCCCTACCCGGTCCAACAGGGTCTCAAGGAAATTCAACAACATGAACCGAAACAAAGGCTGCGATCTTTGCTGGAAATGGCACTCGTGAGATAAGTATTATTATGCTGAAGATACAACGACTTACTTGTTATTTCCGAGTATCCTCCACCGTCAGCTACGCTAACCACCCACACAATCACCGTTCAAATATTTAAAACCACGGAGCACCTTCACAACGCCGGCGCGCGGCCGGAACTGACATGGCGGCGCCGCTGCAGCAGAGTCAGACGCACGTGGATTGTTAGTAAGGGTGTAGTGTTGTCATGGTGTTGCCATGGTATACCTTACCATAGCAGCAGAAGCACACCCAGGGAACTGTTGCAAGAAATTTCTGGCCTTTCGTCCATAAAACTATTAATTGCTCAGGGTCTCAGCTAGTCCTTGGATGACGCTCCTTCCAACATATCAAAAATTGGCAAACACCTCTATGGAAAGGAGGAGACTTGATCGCCGAATTCACCTGCTGGATCCGCCCGTGGAAAGGTTGATTTTACTATGGTAGGGAATATTAGCTTACGAGGGTATCTACTAGCCTCAGGTGGTTACCACCTTGTAAACTGGGGTACAAAACCACCCCTGATAAACGTAACCATGGTAATATCAACATGTCAAGGCAGGATAGTATTCAGCACCATAGTAGGCTGGTAGTAATATGATGGTAGGCTGATGGTAAAATTTACCAAAGCTAGTAACTTAGTAAATTGATGGTAAAAACTTTTTTCAGTGATACGGAGACGGCAATGACCTTTGGCGACTGGGCAGTGACAGCAGTTCAACCTGGGCTGACTGTGGTGAATTTATTGGAATACTGATCACCGATTCAACACCGAGCCGTGTCATGCTGTACACCGCCAGCTCCGGCTCCGGCTGCGGCTGCGGCCCGGGTGAGCGATCAGTTCCGGACCGGTCCGGAATCGAGGCCCGGGCCGCCGGGACCGGACCGAAAAAAATGCACGTGCCGAGCTCACCGGTCAAGGGCTGTGCACTGTGCAGATGGAAGGATTAGTGTCTGCGTTTGACGTGATGTGCTGCAGGTCTCTGAGGGCATTCCACTCGAATTGTGCCTGTCAGAAATGACAGGGATTCACATTCACTAGGTACCTATAGCTTTATATTCAGTCATCTTTTTTCCGGGAAGTTCCGACCTCTCGCATGCGGTATAGCGAGTGCAGCTTATAGAAAATGCTGAGACCAGCGAGTTATTTGAAAACAATTTGAAAACCGCAAACCAACGGTAGAGAGTTATCCAACCCCCCCTTTCACCCCCACCCTCAGCGAGACGGGTATTCGGGGACGGACATCCGCACCTCCGGAGGTTTTCCGTCAATAGTAGAAATAGTTTTATTAATCCGCTGACACAAGCTGCGGTGCACTGTTACTTATTTCATATCCCAAGATGTGAGCTATTATCCCTGATCCCAGCAAGAGCCGGACATCGGGGAGTTCCTGGTGGGCTGTAAGTTCCTTATTTGAGACCGACATAGGCACACAGTGCGATTGCACAGTAGGTGCGGTTGCTCATCCATGGAGTGGAGATGTTGATGATGACCCCTACCTGTGCGAACCGGGGAGGAGGAGGGGGCAATGACCGTATACCTAATGCATGCGCGGTGCAGCTGAGCGGTGGAATGCCTCCTGCCCAGTGCCGGCCCCGCCCCCGCCCGCCCCTTCTAGCACAGCTCACCTCCCCCGGCCCCTCATCACTATGCACTGAGGTACCCAGCTTGTGTTTGGATAAAACTTCTGGCGGATTCGTTCGTCACTGATTACTTCACCCGTACACCTCTCTCATACCCCCCCCCCTTCACCAGGCATCGTTCAACGGCCTCAGGTCGGGGCTCCCGCGACTGTACCACCCTGCCATCTGGCAGCTGCTGCTCGAACCACAAATCCCGGACAGTGGGCAGGTGGCGCCATGCGGCGGCGGCGGGCCGAACTACTGCTGGAAGGAGCCTGCGGGGAGCGTGCCGCGTCGCGTCGCAGTCGCGGCGCGCGCCGGCCGGTGAGGGGTTGGTCCACTCTGTCCAGCTCGGAAACAGGAGCAGCCCAACGTCATCCGGACACAGCTCACCGAGGCTCAGATTCAGGTGAGTTGGTGCGGACAGGGAGGGGTCAGGTGTACCCGCCCAGTGACACGCCAAAATGGCCGTCCGCCGGCCGGGGCCGGACCGGCCACGGCGTGATGCAGCCTGTGGCAGGTGTGGCATCTGACCTTGGATCGGGGACTTTAAACACCGCCTGAGGGCTGTTCACGGACCCTGTGTGCGGTCGGACCGCACACAGCCTCCAAGCTCCGCCCACTGCGTCCCTACGTCAGCCTTGCGTCACCGCACACAGCGACCGCTGTGGCCGGTCGGGACTGGCCACAGCGGACCGTCCACCGCACGCAGCCGTGACGTCAGAGCCGCCTACCCATCCCCTACCCCCACGCCTGCTGGACGTACCGCACAAGGCTATATAAACCAGGTAGAACGCTCCGGGAAAAAAGTTGGAAACAATAAATTAGTTGCGGCATTCCCTGATGACGCGAATGTGGGTCAGCGGCCGGCGGCCGGCCGCCGCTAACACTGTATGAGGAGGGATGCGCGGAACTTTTGCTTGTTGGTGATTGCGCGGGGCAGTTAAACGGTAATGTTAGGATATGTTTCGAAAGTAAATTCAACGACGCTTCGAGCGCCGTCAATGAATTTGCGATACGACGACTATTTGTTTAGTTAGAGCCGGCGAACTTTTACCTTCCGACCGCGCGCGGAGGCGATATGGTGCCACACTGGCGGTTTTTACGATAGCTCAAAATTCTTTTGAGATAAAGAGATGAAATTTGACATGTCCTATCTTTTGATCAAGCTGGATCTTATGGTACAAGTCGCATATTTATGGTAGGTCAGGTTGTTGACCTATGTTGTCGCTCGTGAGCCTCTGCACAGTCCAAAAACAACGCAATTTCTGAACACTCAGTGCCAAGAAATCCTTCACATAAAGATGACACTTGGCAGAAAGAAGAGTTGTCGGTTTCTTACCGTTCGTATGTGTCGTGTTTTCACAAGAGTTTAGTAAGGTCAGGTCCGTCACGTGACCTCCCCTCATAACTCAATAGGTTTACTATCATAGAAGCGTTTATCAATCGCCGGAAATCTTAGCCAATGCCCAATCCCACTGGACACTGGATCCATACCCACATGGGGCCCTCCTGACTGGCCACTCCCTCTGAAATCCACAATAACATTGGGCTGCGGCCACGGTTATGTATTAATGCTTTTCACTAACAGAAATACAACTTCAACCAGCACAGTGCACGCCGCCACAACAGTCCGACCCACGTCCCTGATATCGACTAGCTCCCGGCCGGATGCACATACGCGGAGCCAATCAGTCCGAATGTGACCTGCAGCTTACAATTGCTGTGTCGCATGGCGCATGGCACAGGACGATTCCTAGCAGCTGTCGGCTGGAGTGGAGAAACAGCACGTTGCGACACACCGCGCCGGCGACAGAGCTCAGCAGGGCTGGTTGGAGGCTGGAGCCGGAGGTAAGGGCGGACACAGGCACAGACATTGCAGGACAAATAACAGGATGTCAGTTAGGGATATAATTCAAGACGAATGATTCAAGACGGACTGAAATAATACACATTTTGCTCACTTGGGTACCAACTTCAAACTTGTCGTTTATGTATAGCACCATGGAAACAATGGGCACACAGGAAAGAAACAAAAGATGAGGGTTTTTTAACTCAAGGAAGTAAAACAGCCCGAAGTGCAGACAAGCACATACTTTTGGTAATAGCTATCAGCTGTGCTACTCCTCTTCTCCCTTCATCAACTACTGGACACATTTGAAGCATCATATATAGCACCAATGTCCATAACCAAAGCTTGCAAGTAGTTTTAACTTCTATGGAGCCAAGGGAAATGTCCATACATCATGCATGTTAACTCAAAATTACACATGCATGACAAAGGAAGCTTATGTAAAGAGAAAAGTTGACAAAAGCATCTCATGGTTAAAATTATTCAAAACTGCACACAGGGCAAACATAAAAAGCAGCAAGTGTACTGTTCTGTTATGCTAAGAAATAGCTTCCAAAACAAAATACAATCTTTTCATGTTTGAACTGGTTGTTCTTCTATGCCCCTTCATCCATATCTTGATTACAGATGGGCTGTTACTGTAGGCTGATGAAGTGACACTTGATTGCCTTTGTGCGAGTTTCAGTTGCAGCCTCCTTGGTACTGCACTGGAAAGCAGATTGAATTGAATGCCTCTGAAAGATAGGAATACAGGCAAAGTTAGCTGTAGTAGTGTCAATGATAATAGACATGACATTTTTGTCCTTTGACATACATTTGTTGAAGTACAAAAAGGTACAAAATAAATTGGTTTGTTTCAAGACACACACACTGCACAAAGCCGCACAGACATTACACAGGCATATGAAATTGGTATACATAAAAATTGATGATTACAAAGGTCAAAACTTGCAATAATAATTGAAGTAAAAGTTACAATCACAATCATTTGATTTAAAATGACTTGACATAAGTCACAAGACGCAACGCTCCTATTCTTTTATGCTTTCATTATCCTCCACATATCAACCAGCTTGATACCAGGCTGTGCAATAGTGTGTACATAACCCCATGTTGCCATTTTATTAGAGCAAGTGGGGTTACAACAACAATGCTAATGTCAAACCCACATCTGCAACCCGTACTGCAGTTTCAATCACCTTACAAGCACACCTTCTGGCAGTTTGATAGGCAGAATGGTCATGACTACTTTCCCCTCATATTCAACACATATTCCCTTTATACAGATACAGTTTAGACCTGGTTATGGCAAGCACTTTCGAGAAAAGATATGATTAAAGTCCAAGACAAAGGTCGAGAGAAACAACACCAACATAAAACACCGACTATGTAGCACTAATACTGTCAAATTCATAAAAATATATACATGAGTCGATCAGAAATTCACTGTAGATTTCGAAAATGGTGTCAACTGCCACTCAAATACTCCCATTCGCATGTACGAAGCAATAAAACACTGACCTTCAATTCCGCGGGCCATTCTCCATAGGCCACTGTGTATTAAATAACGCGTTCACTGATAGCAAAAAATGAGACCCACATATGACGCGTTTGCTACCAGCCAATCAGCGCTCGAGTTACCGAGCTCTGATTGGTGGAGAGGGCCGTCGTCAGCAGCTAATTACATGTTATTTTCCTTGAACATGTGCGTGAGCGCTGATGCTGCTCACGGGCTGTTGCCATTTTTCGTAATGCTGAAGGCACGGGAGCCAGGCCCATGTCGTCCCCTATCTCTCTGCGTGTCCACTAACACGAATGACGTCACGCATGTGGGCGGAGCTATGGGCGGAGCCTAACGCACGCGGCAGTCCAAGCCGCCATATTTGAATTTATATTTTAATAGAATCTTGCCGATATTTTGGGTGAAGTCAATTTATATGGATAGCTTGGTGACAGTTTAGCTATACGAATAATAATTTATTATGGATGTGCGTATATTCAGCTTGGAATTGCAATTAAAGTTCCGCACCGCATAGATTCGAACTCGGGACCTTTGGAATACTGCGCGGGCACGCTAACCACTACACTACCGCGACCGCGCGGCGGCCGGCGGCAGGGAAGCTGCGGAGACATGGGGGGACATTTTACGCTTTTGTGAAAAAAGCAAAAGATTTAGCGAAAAACACGTAATAGATAACTTGCAGGAAATTGTCTGCTCTTTCAGATAAGATACTTAGGTTTGATATATCTTGTACAGACTTCATTCTACAGTGCTTCGAAAATCGCTCATTTACATGGGGATTGAACGGGGCTTCGAGACTTGACTCCAAATGACGTCACGAGCTGACGTCACGAAAAGGTAGAATCGCCGGACGACCCTACCTGGTATATAGGGCCTTGACGGGAGCGAACCCCCCTGGTACCGCACACACCGCACGCAGCAGTGTGCGGTGCCCGTGAACACCCCTCTGGCGACTGGCCCGTCTGCGCTGTGCTGTACTGGCAACTGAACCGCACTGTCCGTACTGGAGCTGGGCTGTCGTCAATGCCTACTCAATCTAGATCGTCTGAATTAGAGATGCCCCAAATTTGCAATTTCATTACCCGCCCCGCCCCGCAGCTACCCCTTGCCCAACCACAACTACCCGCAAGCTGATTTTGTCTGAGCCGAACCCGCAAAAAACCCGCAATCTTAAAAACATACTTTTGCAAGAAAAAAATACAGCTGAGTCAATGCTAGAGCTATATAAACCTTACTTGCTTCATTGCTGTGCAGAAAAAGACAGCCAAACAAATAGTAAGGACTTGAAATTGCTATGCTAAGTCCTCAGGAAGTGCACACTGGATAGTGGAAAATGAATAATGCATCAATACATTTGAAATTCCTTTCTGAAGAGTTCAGTAAAATCTTTCTCTCACCTTACCCTTCAGCATTGGCTGAGGATCAAAATTTCACTCTGGCTCCCTCTCAATGTTAGGCCTCTGGAATGATATTGTTATCAAAATGAATGTTGATATAAAAAGATATGCGATTTCCAGTTAAAAATAAATAGTGACACAGTGAATAATGAGTATCCAGTCGATCTACACATAAAACAAATCATGCAAAATCCCAGCAAAAACCAACTATAATAACATATATGGCCTTGCAACTAACCACCAATGAACCACGCATTTCTGGAAACATGCGTCAGAAGCGTCACCAACAGCTGATGAAGGAATGTTACAGCGACTAAATTATTGCGGCCGTAGTTAGTCGAACTTGTTGCGAAAACACTGTTGTATAATGCATATTCATGTGCCATTCTGATTAAATTATTTTACACAACAGCTAAAGTTTTACAATTTAGAGGTTAATCACCGGTTTAGAAATAAAGAGACAGTAAATACTAAATTAAATGTAATGATTTTATAGATGGTCTTGGTAATGCTCTCCGGCTGGTCATCTGTCGGCATACAAATGATAAGGACGTAAAAAGACAAAAGAAATAAATGCGACCAGCTACGTGGTTTTGTAACATGTATAACTGCTATTTTGAGGCATTCAAAAACCAAGA